CAAGACTAAAACAAGACTAAAACAGGACTAAAACAGGACTGAAACAAGACTAAAACAAGACTAAAACAGGACTAAAACAAGACTAAAACAGGACTAAACAAGACTAAAACAGGACTAAAACAGGACTAAAACTAAAACAAGGACTAAAACAAGACTAAAACAGGACTGAAACAAGACTAAAACAAGACTAAAACAGGACTAAAACAAGACTAAAACAGGACTAAAACAAGACTAAAACAAGGACTAAAACAGGACTAAAAGAGGACTAAAACAAGACTAAAACAGGACTAAAACAGGACTAAAACAGGACTAAAACAAGACTAAAACAGGACTAAAACAAGACTAAAACAGGACTAAAACAAGACTAAAACAGGACTAAAACAGGACTAAAACAAGACTAAAACAGGACTAAAACAGGACTAAAACAAGACTAAAACAGGACTAAAACAAGACTAAAACAGGACTAAAACTGGACTAAAACAAGACTAAAACAGGACTAAAACAAGACTAAAACAAGACTAAAACAGGACTAAACAGGACTAAAACAGACTAAAAAGGACTAAAACAGGACTAAAACAAGACTAAAACAGGACTAAAACAAGACTAAAAACAGGACTAAACCAGGTCTAAAAACAAGACTAAAACAAGACTAAACAGGACTAAAACAAGATTAAAACAAAACTAAACCAGGTCTAAAACAAGACTACAACAAGACTAAAACGGGACTAAAACGGGACTAAAACAAGACTGAACCAGGACTGAACCAGGACTGAACCAGGACTGAACCAGGACTGAACCAGGACTGAACCAGGACTGAACCAGAATCTTGTCTCAAACAGCAAACTCTCTGTTCCACCTTGTGATGTCGATGCGGTGATACAAGAAGTGCTCCACTGTGTTTTTAAACTCCACACACTAGAACAGACATGTCAAAGTCAGGCCCGGGGACCAAATTTGGCCCCTGATATAATTATATTTGGCCCGCAAGATCAAACCAAATCTGTATTAGAGCTGCTGCTGCACACAGATTTTATTTATTTAAAATGTTGTTTTTATTTTTTATTCTGGATTCAATGTTTAAGCAAAACTATTATTAAACATTTATTTTAATGAGAAAAGATTTAACGTTACATATTTTTATTGTAGTTTTCACATGTATTTGTAACAGTTTCTTCTGTTTTGATCAGCTGAGGTTGTTTTAAATGTGCTATAAAAATAAACTTGAATTGAATTGAAACTTGAATCTCGAAGACAAATTTAAAAGCAAATGGAAACGGTGGATTGAACATATAAATACTGTGAGACCGGACTTTGTTTGACCATTACTTTGTTTTTTTCTTGCAATTGGCTGTAGTAATTATTATTCATTATTATTATTATTATTATTTTTCTTTTAATTAATCCATCCTTTGTAAGAATCAAGGCACACCCGCAGGTTGGATTGTATTTGTCTTTTCATACTTAAAAAAAAAAAAAGAAAAAGAAAGAATTACAAAAAAAGAAAAGAAACTTGAATCTCGAAAGAAGCGAAAACTTGCAGACGATGGTGAAATTTTTCAATAAATATTTAGTTTGACCCACGACTTAATCCCAGTTTTAAATTTTGGCCCAATGTGAATTTGAGTTTAACTTCCCTGAACTAGAATCATTTGGATCATTTCAGTCGTGGAATCGAAGATTTAAAAGGCAAAAAAGGAGCTGTTCACTTGAAATCTACCACTTCATGACATCACAAAGTGGAACAGAGCGTTTTGAGCTTCGGAGATAAAGACAGACTAATAATAAAGCGTCACTAAAACATGTGTGAACGAAACAAAACACATTTCTAGGTTTGTTTTTGACGATGAAACGACATTATAACGCCACTAAAAGCTTCATTTCGCGTCATTTGCATCGTTTCAGTCCGGGTCCGGGTCCGGTCCGGGTTTTTGCCTCTGCGCTTTGTTCCCATGACAAGTGCGTTACAGAAATGTGAACTATGCAAACTGTACATACTTGGAGATTGTAAAACCGGCTTCGTTCTTGTGTCGACAGCGAAACAATTAAACGTACGTCTGGGTTCGTCTGGTTGTTTATGCGAGGGCAGGTCCGCGCTCGTCGCAAACGCACAGGTGAGAATCCGACGCGACGGGACCAGGTTTTATGTCGGGTTATGTCATCAGCAGAGTCGGGAAGGTGACTTTAAAATGTAATCCCCTACAGATTACAGATTACATACACCAGAATGTAGTTTGTAATGGAATACATTCAATGACTTAAAGTGAGTAATGTAATCTGATTACTTTGGATTACTTGATTTGCTGAAGAGAAACAAAGACGAGGAAATTGTGACATAAGAAGTTTTGTCTGATAAAAGAAAATAAAAAGCCCAAATTTTACTGAACCAAATTAAAAATATTATTGATAGAAGACGAGACGACACGTCCTGGTTTTAGACCTGTTTTAGACCTGGTTTAGACCTGGTTTAGACCTGGTTTAGACCTGGTTTAGACCTGGTTTAGACCTGGTTTAGACCTGGTTTAGACCTGGTTTTAGACCTGGTTTAGACCTGGTTTAGACCTGGTTTAGACCTGGTTTAGACCTGTTTTTAGACCTGGTTTAGGTTTTAGACCTGGTTTTAGACCTTAGTTTAGTCCTGGTTTTAGTCCTAGTTTAGTCCTGGTTTAGACCTGTTTTGTTTTTAGACCTGTTTAGACTGTTTAGACCTGTTTAGACCTAGTTTTAGACCTGGTTTTAGACCTAGTTTAGACCTGGTTTTAGACCTAGTTTAGACCTGGTTTTAGACCTAGTTTAGACCTGGTTTTTAGACCTGGTTTTTAGACCTAGACCTAGTTAGACCTGGTTTTAGACCTAGTTTAGACCTGGTTTTAGATCTGGTTTAGACCTGGTTTAGTGTCCAGCAATGAGTGGAATTACCAAAAAAACAAAAAGGGATACACCCCAAAATGTGAAAACAGTAAAATCCCTCTGTGTAATCCATTTACTTCAACAAAGTAACTGTAATCCAATTACCACTCACTGAAACAGTAACTGTAACTGAATACAGTTACTCATCATTTGTACTCTGATTACATCACTCCGGTACATGTAATCTGTTACTCGTCAGTATCTCAGTCTCTGCGTCTCTCCCTCGTTCGTTCACTCACCTTCGCCGGCCCCTCCCCCCTCGCCGTTATTAAGGCGCATATGGTACACAACAAACTGCTAATAAATAAGCCCTCCCTCGCTCACGCCGCCACTCCGGAACGCTGGCTTTATGGGCGAGGAGGGAGACGAGGAGGGAGGCGAGGAGGGAGACGAGGAGGAGGTGGAGGAGGGAGAGAAGCAGCAGATCCTCAGCACATCCCAGTGTTTGCACAGATCTCACCGAGGGGTTTGTGGATGCGGTTTTTGGTGGAGAACCAGAAAAACGTCACGTGTCGGCGTCGGTGTGAGTGTGAGTGTGATTTTGAGCGTGGGTTTAATGGATTGTTTGTCCGGTAGTTTATGTGCGGGAGTTAAAGAGCAACGAGATACAACGTCCTGGTGTTATATTTTGTCCAGGGCAATTACACTTAGACGGTGAGAATAAAACGAGGGGAGGAAAGAGTCTGAGGCACTGACCGCCAGATCAGACTCAGATGAAGGACGAACTGATCCAGTGATCCTCAAACAGCCACATCTCCGAGAGGCACGGAACAATAACCGAAATATCGTCAAAAGTCTCACAAAAACATCGTGGACCATCACAAAATGTCGACTCACAAGTTTCTTTGGTTTAAATGCAGGATTTATAGTAGAAATGTCTTATGAACATCGGGAACTACATTTCCCATGATGCATTTCAGCGCAGACGACATGAAGAAATATGTTTTTGACTTGAATTCTTGGGATTTTGATGGAAATAAATCACACCAAAAACTTTTCAGAGCATTTTAAAAGCAGAAATGTGTCTGATCTACAATATATATATTTATATATAATTATATCAGTTTCTTCAAAATATCACAATAAATATTGAACCATGAGATGCACATCGTGATAATATCGTCCCGAGAGATTTGGATATCGATACATCCTTAGTTAGTAAAGCCCTTCACCTGTCCAGTCCTGCACCTGTCCTGTCAGCGGTGCACCTGTCCTGTCAGTCCCTCACCTGTCCTGTCAGCGGTGCACCTGTCCTGTCAGCGGTGCACCTGTCCTGTCAGCAGTGCACCTGTCCTGTCAGCGGTGCACCTGTCCTGTCAGTCCTTCACCTGTCCTGTCAGTCCTTCACCTATCCTGTCAGCGGTGCCCCTGTCCTGTCAGTCCTTCACCTGTCCTGTCAGCGGTGCCCTGTCCTGTCAGTCCTTCACCTGTCCTGTCAGCGGTGCCCCTGTCCTGTCAGCGGTGCACCTGTCCTGTCAGTGCTGCACCTGTCCTGTCAGCGGTGCACCTGTCCTGTCAGTGCTGCACCTGTCCTGTCAGCGTGCACCTGTCCTGTCAGTGCTGCACCTGTCCTGTCAGTGCTGCACCTGTCCCGCGGGCTCTCACCTGCGTCCTGTTGAAGGCGACTCGTGCGAACACGGCCTGGGAGATGCCGGCTCTCTTGAGCTCGTCCCTGACCCACTGGTAAATCTCTGAGGACACGTCGGTGTTGGAGGCGACCTGAGGCTCCAGGGGCTTGGTGTGGTTGCGGTTGACCGGGGGGTGGTTGAGGTACTGCTGGGACAGGGTCTGCTGGGCCAGCAGGCGGTTGACGGCGTACTGCTGGTTCAGGATCTGAGCCATGACCAGCTGCTGGTTGACCAGCTGCGGGCTGATGGGCGCGGACACCAGCCCCGGGTGGTGCAGGCCGGGCATCTGGGGCTGACGGCCGCCGCCCTGCCCGCCGTGAGAGGGCGGGGCGTGGGACAGGGGCGGGACGGGGGACGAGGGCGTCTGCTCCGCCGTGCTGCCCGGGATGGGCTGCTGCTGCTGCGAGAAGCTCAGGTGGTTGTGGTTGGAGCCCGGAGGAGACAAGTCTGCCAGACCGTCCATGTCTGCGAACGCACAAAAACAACAGGTTACAACACAACTACGCACACAGACGCACACAGACGCAACACAACACACAGACGCACACAACACACAGACGCACAGCACAACTACACACACACACACACACACACACACAGACGCACAAACACACACACAGACGCACAACACACACACACACAGACGCACAACTACACACACACACGACACACACACAAACACACACACACACAGACGCACAACTACACACACAGACACGCACAAACACACACAGACGCACAACTACACACACAGACGCACAAACACACACAGACGCACAACTACACACACGACACGCACACACAGACGCACAAACACACACACACACAAGAGAGACAGACAGAGGAGGTTACAACACAACTACACAACCAAACGCACACAAGAGAGACGAGTTTACAGTACAGCTGCAAACACACACACACATGCACAGATGCATGTGTGTGTGTGTTGCGTTGTGTGTGTTGTGTGTGTTGTGTGTGTGTGTTGTGTGTGTTGTGTATGTGTGTGTGTGTGTGTGTTGTGTGTGTATTGTGTGTGTTGTGTGTGTTGTGTGTGTGTATTGTGTGTGTTGTGTATTGTGTGTGTTGTGTGTGTGTTGTGTTCTGTTGTGCGTCGACACACTTAAATTCTCTTTTTTTCCTCGACTCTATTTCGGTCGATGTTATTTTCTCGTTCACCTTTTTGAATGTCATGAAGCTGCTGACGGAGCTTCTGTCGTCGTCTTAGTGGAAACACCGTTCACACCACCGCGTTTGGGGTTTTATACATTACCACGCACATCGATGGTAATAACAACGAGCGGGGAAGAGAGGGAAAGTCGGCTCCGGGATTGGACGAACTTTCATTGATAAAGAACTGCACTCGCTCTCGTTCTGGGTAAAAGCTGAAAAGTTCTGAAGTACATTGTTTGTATTTCATGTCATTTTAATCGAGATTGTTTTTCTGAACGTCATTTATCAGTTTGAGTCTTTTAAACGGAGGTAAAAGCAGAAAAACACGAGCAGATGGAAAAATTTGGAAGAAGAAATGTGGCTATTTTTAAGTGAAAAGCAGATTCCTTCAGGCAGGACCGCACCTCCAGAGTCCCGAGTCCCAGTAGTTTTATCGTTCATGTTTGTGTTCAGTTTACATGTCGTTACAAACAAAAAAAAAAAAAAAAAAAAACTGGTCCCGATTTGCTCCTCAGAGTAAATAAATAACACTTTCTGATGTGTTAAATGTGTTTGTACAACAGGACGAACTCTCGATCCCCCGTGAGTCGCTCAAACGTAAACGATAAACCTGGAGCTGGTTGGTGTCGGAGTCAAGATCGTACAAATCGAGACCAAGACCAGTCCGAGACCACAGGGCCCCGAGACCGAGACGAGACCGAGACCTCTGAGGGTCGAGACCGAGACGAGACCGAGACCTCTGAGGGTCGAGACCGAGACGAGACCGAGACCTCTGAGGGTCGAGACCGAGACGAGACCGAGACCTCTGAGGGTCGAGACCGAGACGAGACCGAGACCTCTGAGGGTCGAGACCGAGACGAGACCGAGACCTCTGAGGGTCGAGACCGAGACGAGACCGAGACCTCTGAGGGTCGAGACCGAGACGAGACCGAGACCTCTGAGAGTCGAGACCGAGATTTTTAAAGGCTCAGACTGAGACAAGATCGAGACCGAATTGAGACCGTCTTAGTCATCTTCGACGTTTATTTCTATGTTATTGTTTTATGTTTGTATGTTATTTTGGCGCATTTTAAATCTAAAAAATAAATCAAAATTATCAATCTATCTACATTTTATCACTCGTCAAGTGTTAGACCTCGAGACTGAGACAAGACCGAGTCCGAGCGTCTTCAAGATCGAGACAAGACCGAGTCCGAGCGTCTTCAAGACCGAGACAAGACCGAGTCCGAGCGTCTTCAAGATCGAGACAAGACCGAGTTCGAGCGTCTTCAAGACCGAGACAAGACCGAGTCCAAGCGCCTTCAAGACCGAAACAAGACCGAGTCCAAGAGCCTTCAAGACCGAAACAAGACCGAGTCCAAGACGACCTCAAGACAAGACCGAGTCCAAGAGCCTTCAAGACCGAGAGTCCAAGCCTTCAAGACCGAAACCCAAGAAGACCGAAGACCGAGTCAAGCCTTCAAGACCGAAACAAGACCGAGTCCAAGAGCCTTCAAGACCGAGAGAGGAGTTGAGTCTGAAACGAGATCAAGACTGCAAAAAAACTCGAGGCCAGATCTTGTCTCGGTTTTGTCTCGGTCTTGTCTTGGTCTGAGCCTTTAAAAGTCTCGGTCTTGTCTCGGTCTTGTCTCGGTCTTGAAGGTGCTCGGACTCGGTCTTGTCTCGGTCTTGAAGGCGCTTAGACTTGGTCTTGTCTCGGTCTTGTCTCGGTCTTGAAGGCGCTTTGGACTCGGTCTTGTCTCGGTCTTGTCTCGGTCTTGTCTCCGTCTGAGCCTTTAAAAGTCTCGATCTTGTCTCGGTCTTGTCTCGGTCTGAACCTTTAAAAGTCTCGATCTTGTCTCGGTTTTGTCTTGGTCTCGTCTTGGTCTCGTCTCTCGGTCTTGTCTCGGTCTTGTCTCGGTCTGACCCTTTAAAAGTCTCGGTCTTGTCCCAGTCTTGACCATTAAAAGTCTCAGTCTTGACCTCTAAAAACTTCAGTCTTGTCTCGGTTTTGTCTCGGTCTGAACCTTTAAAAGTCTCGATCTTGTCTCCGTTTTGTCTTGGTCTTGTCTTGGTCTGAACCTTTAAAAGTCTCGGTCTTGTCCCAGTCTTGACCATTAAAAGTCTCAGTCTTGACCTCTAAAAACCTCAGTCTTGTGTCGGTCTCGATCTTGTCCTGGTCTCTGGACTCCCTGTGGTCCTGTCCTGGTCTTGGTCTCGATTAGTCCGGCCTCGACTGCAACACTAATAACACGTTTAAGTCCCAAATTAGCAGCGAATATTCAAACGAGAGAAAGAGCGAGCGTCTTAAAATAAACGCCGCTTTGTGATTAAACGTGTAATTTGAGTCCAGAGCCGCCGCGCTTTGACTCTTTATGTGTTTTTAATGTATGTTTGTTTCTTTTTTTGTTGGTTTTTTTCATGTGTGTTTACGTCCTTAAACCAAAAACCGACGAGGAAGAAGTGAGTGGGCCGGACCGAAGGCTTCGCGCGGATTCAACTCGACGTCCACAGAAAAAAAAACCAACAACACAACAACAGAGAAAAACAAAAAACAAAGACGAGGGCCATTTTTTCGCGAGATGTAAGATTAAAAGCGTGGACGTTTTCCAGAAAAATAAAAGAAATCGACAATAATCTGGTGGGGTTTTTTTTGTTGTTTTTTTTTTTTTTTATAACCGTCGGCGTCCACGAGCGGCGAGCCAAGACGGGGGCTTTGAGCGAGGACCGGCGCCGCGGGGGTAAAAGACGCACGACTGGGGGTAATAATAATGGAATCTGGTGGTAATCCGCGGCATTCTGATGGTACGGGGGCCTATTCAGCTGCGTGTGCGTTTGTGTGTGCGTTTGTGTGCGTTTTGTGTGCGTTTTGTGTGCGTTTTGTGCGTTTGTGTGCGTGCGCTGGGGGGTATTTCCATGTGAATAGGGGGGGGGAGAGAACAGGACCGGAGCCTCCCGTGGAACCCTGCCCACAAAGAGGCCGGATTAGGGACACAATGGGGGGAGAGCGAGAGAAAGAGAAAAGAAAAATAAAATAAAAAAAGAGAGAAAGAGAAAGAGGGATGGAGGGAGATAACTGTCCTCTCGTGGTGTGACAAAGCCGACGTGTCAATTTGTGTATTTATAGTTTCTTCTGTCACGATTACGACGTTTGAAGCTCGATATAAAGCGGGACGGGGGGTTATTTTATCCACCAGGACAAAACCAGAAGCAGAAAATAAAGCGGAGCTAAAATGTTTCACTCAAATCTGCTGAATATTTTATCTGTTTCTTTATATATATTTAAATAAATAATAGATATTTATAAATCTAAATTATAAATCTATCTACATTTTATCACTCGTCAAGTGTTAGACCTCGAGACCGAGACAAGACCGAGTCCAAGCTCCTTTAAGACTGAGAGAAGATCGAGTCCAAAGCGTCTTTCGAGCCAAGACCGAGCCAAGACCGAGCGAGTTCGAGCGTCTTCAAGATCGAGACAAGACCGAGTTCGAGCGTCTTCAAGATCGAGACAAGACCGAGTTCGAGCGTCTTCAAGATCGAGACAAGACCGAGTTCGAGAGATCGAGACAGAGACGAGACGAGTTTCGAGCGTCTTCAAGATCGAGACAAGACCGAGCGTCTTCAAGATCGAGACAAGACCGAGTTCGAGCGTCTTCAAGATCGAGACAAGACCGAGTTCGAGCGTCTTCAAGATCGAGACAAGACAGAGTTCGAGCGTCGAAGATTCGAGCGTCTTCAAGATCGAGACGAGCGTCTTCAAGACGAGCAAGAGAGTTCGAGCGTCTTCAGGATCGAGACAAGACCGAGTTCGAGCGTCTTCAAGATCGAGACAAGACCGAGTTCGAGCGTCTTCAAGATCGAGACAAGACCGAGTTCGAGCGTCTTCAAATCGAGATCGAGACGAAGACAGAGTTCGAGTCTCGAGAGACAAGACAGAGTTCGAGCTCTTCAAGATCGAGAAAGACAGAGACCGAGTTCGAGCAAGTCTTCAAGATCGAGACAAGACGAGTCGAGCAAGATCGAGACAAGACAGAGTCTATTGAACTAAAGGTAAAAATTTGCTGTTAACTTGGATAATAAAACTAGTTTCTCCCTGGTTTGTTTTGGTTTGTAATAATAAAATTGTGAAAGGAGCAGGTAAGAAAAACTGTTATCTGCACTCGGCCCATTCATGATTTATTTACAAAAAACGTGTCAGTACAGTCACATTTTCTTTGTGTTTTGGTCGTTTTTAAGCAGCTTTTCTGTATTTTACCTACACTAATGACAGTTTGACAGATTTTTGACAGATCACTGATCACAAATCAGTGGTT